TACTTTCCTGTCAAAATAATTATTTGAATCACTCACCATCAACTCATAATATCTTATAAGACCAATGGCGTTTGTGAACCTTTATTCGCGGAATCATAGCAGGGGGCAAGTGAGGCGGGGGCTACCTGGTCAAACAAACGGGAGATCGTTCATCATTCAGTAGATAAAGAGAACGTTACAAATTATAAGGAAGATATAGTTCCTGCTCGGTTGCTCTTTCAATCCTTCTGAATCTCTCAGTTGATTACTACATCTGACTGGCCACAGCGTACTCTGCAGTAGGGTCCCTACAATACCGAAGGCTAAGGAGAGCCTGATGAATTATAAAATCAGAAAATATCTGGACCCGAAGAGAATTTTGTTCGAAGCTAAACATTGATTCAAGAAAGGGTGGTCGTCGGTATCAATTTATTGACAGCAAGGAATGATTATACATCATGCTGGGATGAAAAGATCTCGTCCACGATTCTCCCATACTCCTTAGGGAATTCATCTCGTCGCCTCATGAAATCCTACTACAGGAAATCTGAGAGATGGTAGTCATTAACCCACTGTTAGCTTAGAATGGCGCCTGCTTAGAGAGCAGACAGTTTTGCATGGTACCGAACCAAATTCGCCTACATAGAAGAGGGCGACGAGAGTATCACAAGAAGCAATTTTAGGTCCATTGCTACCGTAGACTGTTTCCCTAAAAAATTAAGCCCTCCACTACTTTGGTCCCCAGACGACGCGCAGTTCTAGATGGCCGTGATAAAAATCGCTCATCTGATTAATCTGCAGGAAAATGTAACTACGAAAAATGCACTGGCCTTCAACAGCCGTAGATGACGAACTATTTTCATCAGCACGTTACTTATGTGGAACTGACACCTCCCATAAGGAGACGGGTACGGTCAAGGACTACTTATGAAAGATAAGAAAATAAGAGCTGATTATGCAGCAAACGCGGCTAAAGGCTCCTAAGCAATCCATTTCATGTACGGGTATTTTGGGGCGTTGACGATAGAGCTTTTTATTGAGTTTTGCAAAACTTACGTGAGTTCACGCTTAGAAGTTGAAGGTATGATAACTGATTACTGTGGCTACGGGAGAAAGAAGAGCACCCTCATCGCCACATAAAAACAATACATGGTCAAATGTGACCGCTTCGATACATATCACCAGAAGCGTACTAAGGCAACCTTAAGGGTAACGCTGACATAATTTCTCACCAAATGGCTAACTTTTTCCTCAGGTTTTACAGCCTGTTGAATCTACATCCCCTCAAGTTAACTTAAATAATGGGCTAGATAACCACGCAAAAGCAATAGGATTTCATGCGTACATATAGAAGGTGAACTATGTCTTGGAGACTGTTCTGTTAGTTCACACATTCAACTTACCATGACCTTACTTATCTTGACACCCTTCACTGTTTTATTGTAATTTTATTACATGCATTCATGCCACATTTATTTTAGTCTTCTCTTGTGTTATTCTTGTGTACATGTACTGTCACTCATACTTGAGAGAAGATTGAATAAAAGGGAGTGAAATGGCGATTTTCCTTAAGAACGCTTGGTTTAAAATGCAGCCTCGGTTACGCTGCGCGATGCAACAGACTGAAAATTGAACAATTCTGGAAAAGGCGCTGTCAATGTAGTTGAAGATTGAACGATCAATTCATGGTTGTTTGCTCAAACCCAAGTCCTCCATATTATTCGCGGGAGTGATCAATACGGCAGTCATCGTCTCATCGTTCGCTGTTCGTTGGAAGGGAGAAAACTATCAGAAGTTTTATCGTGATTTATTTTCATAACATTTATTCTTAGACCTTGTCAGCCACGTCTCATAAACCGTTTAAAAACTGACGTTGTACCGTCAGAAGCCGTCAGCCACGTCTCGTAAACCGTTAATGCCCAGCTCTTGCTACGCTGGGACCCACGTTGCTCCTTGAAGTTTCTCAGAAACGCTTAGTAACAACGGACGGAAAAACCAAAACACCGCTTGACCACTAGAGAATTCTTCATTGTAACACCAACATATAAACAATGTTATAACTAAGGTCTGTAAACAAATATTACAATGATAAATCACAAGATTACTTCTGACGGTTTTCTGCTGACTTCTTTCTGAGCAGTGACCGATGAGACGATGACTGTCGTATTGATGCCTCCGCGAAAATTGGGGAAGTTGGTTATGAGCAAACAACCATGAATTGATCGTTCAATCTTCAACTACATTGACAGACCTTGTGTGTAATAACCTTATTGTTGGTTACGTTTTGGCGTAAGAATAGAGGATTCTTGAGTCATGAATCAGTATTCCGTTTTTCGCGCTGGTTAATACAAAGTGTTTCTGAAAGTTTTCGAGGGACAGCGTGAGGTCCAGCGTAGCAAGCGCTGGACATTGACAGTTACTGAGAGTTGTCCGACAGACTCCTTTAGCTCAACTTTATTTTCTATTACAATCTAACTAATCTCTTGCGCTTCTCTTGGCCAATAATTTAATCTACGTTTGTAGTCAGTTACAGTCTTAGATGTCATGACAACCTGGTTTATAAAGAGCATCGTCAGATTAATATGCGGTGAAACTCATTGTTAGGTAAGTCTTCAATCATTTGAAGTAGATTACCAGCCAATGTGCGTGAATCAAACACACTTCCAGGATTCATTTCCCCAGGCACCAGACTCCACAAAGATTACGATGCTCTCTCTTCCGGCTGACTCCTCTTTTTCACCTCACACAGATATTACAAGCTCACTAAGTTCACTAACGGTATAAGTTTGAATAAAATACAACAATAAATGTTAATATTATTGGAAGGATAATGTAAATATTTCTACACAGGACATTGTTATTAGTTCACCCCCATGATATAAAAGTTAACATGGAAGAACTAGTTATGTAGCGTATCAACAAAATCGTAGTTTCTACACATAGTATTTATGTATACATTTATAGATCACTCCTTGAGAACTCCACTCACTTTCTTCTGTTCTGCTGTCGTTTGCCTTGCTTTTCTCTCTCACCATTTTGTTTCTATATGACTTTCTGAATGGTGATAATGAATGTAGATATTTGGTGGCTTTCTGCAACAAAAGATCTGCAAACACCACTCGTCCTGAATATTAAGACTGCCTCGCACATTACCCAATACTTTATTTCGCTACGGATTTCGGATGACAGTTGTAGAATATTACCTTCACACAATTAAAATATCGTAACGAATACCTGTGAAGTGCCAATAAATCTGGAGATTTAAGAAATGGTGAAAATATGCTAACGGTTACAACCATAATTTCACCAACTCATGTAATGACAAAAACAGCTTTCACACGCTCCAGTTGCCATTTCGTATGGATTAGTTCGCCACTTTTCTGGCTCCTATTAGCGTATGAAAAGAAGATTATCTGTTGCTGTCATGATACTTCTTTGTACGTTTAACCGGACACTTACTGATATGAGTCTGTGGCAGATAATATTGCTAAAAGCATTGTTATGGGTAACTAACGTTTTGCAGAGCAATTTTGTCACTTGATTAATAACCTACTATGCCTATCACCAGTAGTGCAAAGACCGGTTACGGTGTGGGTTTTGGACAAATTATACCGTGTATAATGCTTCCGCTTCTGTAAAGTGACCTCCCAAATATTATTATTGTCTCATGTGTCTTGTGTAACTGAATAATCTCAAATATGCTTACTCCATGTGCATATTGTTTAGCATATTGGAGATACCAATAAAAGCTGGCTTCCCTTATGTACAAAATATGAGAGTGTATCCGGCAGTTAATTCTTTCCCTCTACGTTCTGTTTGCACAGTCTATTCACTTTCTAGATTTCTTCACAACTCTCCTACTAACACTTTCTGTGGAGCGTTTGCTGATATAACCAGAGGAGTGACCGATAAAAAAAGATCGGTGAGTCCTAGCCCAGGTGCAATTATACATGTCGAAATAACATGCTTTACTTATGGCGTTGAAGGAAGCAGCAGCAACTGAGGGGATAAATTGCACGAGATTCCGCTAATGATCTATAACCGTCCTGGAAGAACAATAGGCAGGCACTAAAAAACCATAGGGTTTGCATAATCTTGCGAAAAGGACACTTGGTATGAAACCGGACTGAATTCCGGAGAAGTTAAACTTTTGTGAGCACCCAATTGGCTTCAGTATTGACTTTGAACAACTAATCAGAATTAAATAAAAATAAATGTCATGAAATTGCTAGTGAAGGTTACTTTGGATTGTGGTGTCCTAAGGTCTTTGTATATTCCTCCCAGAAGACCAGTAACCTGTTCAGCTCGCTATGCATGTGGATATTTTGGTGTACCTAACTAACTTGTTATTCATAATATAATCAATCAACCAATCTTCAGGAAATTGTCTAAGAAGAACCAGAACAGAAGGCATGATTTGATTCGCTAACACTGCCTGTAAATCTAATTACCTATCGAGGGTTGTCAAGCATCCAGATCGCAAAGATCCTGTACCTGTCACTGGTTTCAGAAGACCAAGTCTTATACATAGGATTCTACACAATGTAACCGACTCAGAAGAACAGTAAATGATTGGATAATACGATTGTTTATTTTTCAGCTGATGAAACATATTTGCAGTTGTTACCTAATGCCAGAGCCTGCAAATAAACGTTCATGTAGTATACGGTAGTGCTTGTAATCCTACTTATCCACCCTTCTGCCAGCCACACACGATTAAGCAATGATAGTCTTCTTGTCTCCCTCCAACGTGGAGACCAATTCGAACAAATAAACTTTTAGCGTTCACCAGCGTTGACACAGGTCATGTACCGGGGGCGCTGCCAAAGATTAATTTCATCCAAATCCGTACCACCCTCTTGGCTTGTCAGCCAGAAGTTATCGTTGGATCTAAACATGACACGGCTTGGTTTCTTCACTTACCTGACAATTTAAGGCTTGGTGTTTTTCCTTCTAGAAACTCTTGTTACGTTTCATCACCCACAAAAATTACAGCAGAATACGAATTAGAGGCCAGAAGTGAGAGGTTTAATTGGGCATGGCTTATATTCTCCTGGTTTTCGAAGCATGTGTTTGAACTGGTCAACATCTATAGTCTAATTGTCTGGCGCCAGTCGTTTTGGTTGCCAAGATCTCGTTCACACAGTTAGTCGTTTGTGGGTAGAATGAAAATTGAAGAAGTTCGGAGTACGTCGAAGACACAGCGGATAGCTGCCCACACTCATGTGAAGGGGTTAGGTTTAGACGAGAATGGTACTGCACTATCGAATGCCTGTGGGCTTGTTGGGCAAGAGTGTGCCCGGGAGGTAAAACCAACATTAAAATAAAGTTTTCCCAGGCTGCTGGTATTGTAGTTGAAATGATCCGGTCTAAGAAAATGTCTGGGCGTGCAGTCTTGATGGCAGGACCTCCTGGAACAGGGAAGGTACGTAGTTATTAATATTATCAGTCATAAGATTGTCACTAATGTATGAGTTTTATGTACATTATGGATCAATGTAACATCTATTTGTGCTTTTCTTCACAATTTAATAGACTGCAATTGCTTTAGCCATTGCTCAAGATCTTGGAGGGAAAGTCCCGTTCTGTCCAATGGTTGGAAGTGAAGTTTACTCCTCTGAAATAAAGAAAACGGAGGTCCTAATGGAAAACTTTAGAAGGGCGATAGGTATTTCAACCTGCCTTTTTCATGAAAAAATGTAGGCTTGCGTATAAAGGAAATCAAAGAAGTTTATGAAGGTGAAGTAACCCAGTTAACACCTGTGGAAACTGAAAGCCCAACTGGAGGTAGGTTGTATTTATTTTATCTCACCAGTGTACAGGCTTCGGAAAAACTATTAGTCACGTCATCATCAGTTTGAGAACCGCAAAAGGTGTCAAACAGTTGAAATTAGACCCATGTATTTACGAGAGCCTCCAAAAAGAACATGTTGAAGTCGGAGACGTAATTTATATTGAGGCGAATTCAGGTGCAGTAAAACGTCAGGGGAGGTGTGACGTGTACACAGCTGAATATGACTTGGAGGCAGATGAGTATGTTCCTCTGCCTAAAGGAGAAGTACATAAGAAGAAGGATGTAGTACAAGATGTCACGTTGCATGATCTGGATGTTGCCAATGCTAGACCGCAAGGAGGACAGGATATTGTCTCAATGATGGGTCAACTCATGAAACCTAAAAAGACTGAGATTACAGGTAATAACCATTACTCTAGCTTTGCTATGTCGCCTGACTTCGTTTCTTGAGTATTTTAACGCCATCACTCAGTTTATCTTCTGATTTTTAGATAATTTACCACCATAATATTTATTTTACCTCAAACACTTTTTAAGTCATACAGTAGCTGACATTTGTCCAAAAGTATCAAAATGTTTGGCCAAATGGTCGAATAATTATTGATTATCGAAACGTTTTATCCGATTTCGTAATATGACCAGTGCTCCCTAGGTATTTTTCCCGGAAGTATTTCTCAGCAATAAAGAGAATTAATGCAAAAGCAGTTAAATATATGTCATATATTGATTCAAGGATCTCAAAACCGATATTGGAACTAATGTGGCTACTGAAACAGTGGGTTAATAACGACAAAGGCAATATAATTTCGAAGTTCAGTACTAATTTCAATGCTGAGGTGTGGTCCGTACTCCCTTGTGGGGCTTGTGACATGACTGTTGTGCGAGGCAGTACTAGTGGTGAGTCTTAAAATCGAAATGTATAAAGACACATTATGTTTTAAGTGTAACGGTGACCTAATGGGGATAATGGATGTTTCATTCACTCATCTATAAATACATCGATTGTGTAACATTTATCGTTATCTGCACATCTAGTCCAATTACCAGTCACTTTGTGGGTTTATGATAGTAGTGTTCTCCAAGTGGATACTCTCTGCCAGATTAAAACCCGCGTGCTAGTTCTGGAGTTGGTAATATTATCACCATATTTCCTAATACTATGAAAATCATCTACCGAATAAATTGCTAAAACATAGGTCATCAAGAGTGAATGTGTTTCCAACTTATATCTTAGTTAAATTTGTCACATTAATTTATATAGTAGTTTTCATGTAAAATAGTATTTCGTTTTATTGTAAGTCAGACTGTTTACAAGGAACTGGTTCGCCTCAATGCCGTTTCTTGTCTGTGAATGACTCGATAACTGTCACGGTGCAAATAGTCTATTATCAAGAGAAACGTACTGTAGATTGTTTAGTTGCTTTCACTCAATGGTACTTACAGTGTGTGCGTGAAGTATTGGTTTTTCGTTTAGATTTGACTTATTGCTTCAACCATGAGTTATAATGGGGTTAAATTTCGTAAGTGGATGTGATAATATGAAATCGTCAGTAAACACTGTTTCTCTTAATTTGTAAAACATGCGCATAATTTCAATTTTCTGTGTCCTCGTCTTTACCAGACAAACTTAGAAAGGAAATCAACAAAGTCGTAAACAAATACATTGATCAGGGTATCGCTGAACTAGTTCCAGGTGTCCTGTTTATTGATGAGGTACATATGTTAGATATCGAGTGTTTCACATATCTTCATCGGGCCTTGGAATCAACTATCGCACCTATTGTCATCTTCGCTACTAATCGTGGGAAATGTACTATTAGGTAAGTCGTATCATGTTTAATGAAAAAAATGATAGTGTATGTATTTCTTCCTGAGTTAGACAAGATTTTTATTTTGTCTTTAAATTTATTTAACTTTTAGTAATTAAATTGAAGTGAAGAATGAGTGAGGCATTAAATTTTAGCGATCACTTCCGGACTGATTTGTTCACTTGTAAGTCACATTCAGTATTGCATTCTTCCTCTTAACCAAAGGAAATAGGATATGTTTTCAATCTGTTTATGAATAAGAGGGAGACCCAATGTACTGTTGTTTATTGCTTTCGAAGAAGTATTGTGATGCCTATTCACATTGGCTAGTGTTACACTTAGACTATCAAAATAACTTCATTCTAAGTCACAATGGATCGGTAACATGATCTCATTCCAGCGACTTGTGGAGTGGTGCCTTACAACAACTATTTACTTTACTCGAAGCTACAAGTTTCTGTCTCCGAAAGTTTGCCTCAGTCTGAATATCTGTCTCATTCGTAATACAAAACGGGAAATGAAAACTCTGAGAATTCCAATCCTATTCCACGCTTCTACAACATATCAAGTTAGCCCAGGAGCAGGAACTGCTTCGATGCTACTTACCACCACGTCCACCTATCTATGTAATGTTGTAAAACGTGCTATGTTGCTATCATATTTAGTTTCAAGTTTTCCACTGACTTTCATATTTCTAACAGCCGGTTTTAATTCACTTGTCCAGTAAGCAAACATATTAGCTAGTCACAAAGCGGTAGCTAAGCAGCAAACTTGTTATTTTCTTGGAGTACAATATATATAGTGGTATCCTTGTAAATCTGCACACAACATTTATACTTGTTTCAATTATTACTTGCTTTTAAATTGCTACGTATACCCGCGTACATGTACCACTAAAACCATCCTTATTCCAACATATTTTTATTTTGGTTAAACTAGGGGTACTGAGGATATTATTTCTCCACATGGAATCCCATTAGATTTATTAGATCGTGTTATGATTATACGCACTTTGCCTTACTCTTGCGAAGAAGTTATTCAAATCCTACGTATACGTGCACAAACTGAAGGTATAAAAGTGTCGGAACAAGCTTTCACTTGCCTTGCGACGGTTGCCACAGACACAACTCTGCGGTGAGTTTAGTTTTTTGAAGTTAACAGCATGGGTTTTTTTAGTGCATACGCTTAAAATCTATTTATACGTAATAAATGAAACAATAAAAAGCTCATAGAAACATGCAACAGTGCAGTTTTGTATATTTTGTTTCACTGGCATCAAGAAGTCATTAAAATAAATCGAAAAATTATAATTAGAGGAAAAACAAAGGATTTAAGGTGAACTATAAGCAAAGAATTTAATCCACCATGAGATATTGGCATCATTTTAGCATGTCACCGTAAGTTTGCAATTACTGCTGTATCGATAGCAAAAACCACGAAATGTGCATGGTCATGTCTAATAACCAGAAACTTCGTAGCTTAATGCTAATTTACGGTCTCGCCACCTTTAAAATGGCCATGACTATCAATTTTTAGGTGATATTTTCTAACTTCCATTTCTATGACGAGGTTTGGCAACCACTAGCCTTCACGAAATACTGTTAGCTCTCCGCCTAATACACAGATCTATAATTGGTTCCTGCGATTAGGATGTCAATTATATTTCTGGCTTATTGCCTAATAGGTTTAAATTGGGTTCAGATACAGCTCCTTACTAACCGTCAACATATGGCATTAAAAGTAGTGCTACTTAGCATTGGGATAACACTTTACTGGAATGTCCCACAATATATCCAGTGATTAGTCCTTGTTTATGAATCTATGTAAAGGTTTACGTAGAAGTTTTACTTTCCTAGTTTTTGTATGCACATTTTGTAGTGTGTTTCCGGTTTTTCTTTTGAATACCCGTTTTCTTAGTGAATATGATCATTTTTCAATCAAGACTCCTCAATCAAAGCCATAAATGATTTAGCAATTGGTAGAGTAACAGGTTAGTGCGATGCGAGGGGATATGTCTTCAAGAGAAATCGTCGTTTCAATGATTAAATTTGCTTATCGTGTAGTTTTTTTTTGGCTTAGTTTTAGGTTCTTGTGTTGTTGGAAGTGAAAGTCATTTCTGGATAACTATTTTATATTAGCATTGAACATATTTTATGTCCTTGTCAACCTAGGACATTTTATTACTTGGTCCACTTTATTGTCTATTGATACAGTTTTCGTATTTTACTTGTTTCATAAAACTAAATTAATCAAACAGGTGAAACTGTAAACATACTGTTTCTTAAAATTACAGTTTCTGTACCACGAATAGTTGATGAGCAATTTATTTCGGGAATATTCTTTACTTAATAATAATAATAAAACAGTAATTTATGTACAGGTTAGTTTTCTAACCAATCGATTCTCTTCAAAGTGTACTGGGGACTGATAAAATTGGCCAGAGTGGTCAGAGTCGGGTCCCTTGTTTACGAATAAGCAATCCAGTGTCTGTACGAGTGAACTAGTAATTCTGTTTAGTTGTAATTATGCCACTACGTCTAACTAATTGGACTCCAAACTGGCCGTTGAAGTAACCTATAGACCATTGTGTGTGAATGAAGATAAGAGGTTGAGTGTGAATGTGTGCAGTACAATATCATATCTGTTTTTGATCTTCGTGTATTTCTGTCTAATGCAGTGATGTTTTGTTCTCTCTCTAGGTATGCTGTTCAACTTTTGACTCCGGCATGCCGTCTTGCACAGTTGAGTGGACGAGAAGAGGTTGAACCTTCAGATATTGAAGAGGTAAGGTCGCTATTCCTCAATGCAAAACAATCTGCTAAAATACTTGCTGATCATGAGAGTCAGTTTATGCGGTAAACTTATTGTTAAACTGACCAAAATATGTAATAAATACATAAAATATGTAAAAATATTAATAAAGTGTCTTCTTTTCTTCTGATCACTTTCTTTACCGTTCGTGCAAATACGATAGTTTACAGTCATTTATGGAACTACAGCTAGGTTGTTGACTGTCTTTCAATACCTGTATTGACCTGTGATCTGTTGATACCAATACTCAAATTTCTCTCACTGGGTCAGGTTGAAATTCTGCGCTCGTTGGTTTTCGACCATACTAACGCCAACTCAGTACGTGTAGCTCCTTACCTTATGCTAAATTTATAATTATGTCGCATTATTTACACACTTTAGTTCGGACAAGCGTTGATCAGTTAGATGTTTTACATATTACTCCATACAAATATAATATTTTTCAAACAAACTCGGATTCAAACACAATCTTGTCGGAATATTTGCGTATTCTAGCAGCATTCAAGTATTTTGCTTCCAAACTTAATGGAATTATTGTTATTACTCTTCTTTTCAACATATACTTTTATTCTAAATAGGTTTGTTCATTTCAGTTGGGACATGAAATCTTGATTCCTCATTTCTCAGACAATTAGCTGTCGTGTTTTTTCTACAGCAGTGATGTTTTTGTTGCGTGCAGTAGTCAGTTTATGTGAACCGCATAACTAGGAGCACACTCGAGCCCCGAGTATGGCATCATATAAGTTATTACTGCTAAATTACTAATGTGGTTATGATCACAGCAACAGGTGTCTCTTACTGAAATAATTTGTAATATGATCAGAAGTTTGTTCCGACCAATGAGAAAGACGGAAACAGAATTGTAAATAATAAAGAATTCGAAGCCTTGATAGTACAACTATATAGCAAAGGGACGTGAGAACTCTTACGTAGGGTTCTTAATAAAGCCAGGATTAGGGTGGCATCCAAATCAATCAGTTCACTCAGAGATAAACTTTGTCGGTTTAAAGATCCAAATAGGCAAAGTAATGTAACGTACCATGTAATAGCTGTTAAGCCAATTGTACAGACCAAGCTAATAAAGCAAGGTCAGTTAAGTTATCACAACATAAGAATTTAGCTAGATCTAAGAAGGGCGATCCCACTGATTTAAGCAGTCTCGAGGTAAAGCTCGAGCATTTCTATGTTTATACTCGCAAATAATCATACAACAGGTTGGGAAGGGATAAAATACTCGAATATATTGACTCGACATCAAATACATGCAACAGTTATGCCGGATATATGCAAAACTATATTAAAAACTAACAGGGAATTAAAACTATGTAAAGCAGGTTAGGAAGTCGTGTGAACATATTCATATACTGAGTAATAAACTGTTCGCTGAATGTTTTCTATTTTATTCACTTTATCATTGTGTGTTATGTTAAATAAACTTATCTGATGAGGATGTTATCGAACTTCTGTCCAACAATATTATCAGTTGTGGTTCAACAGTGGACTCGAGTATTCAATATTCACATGTAAGCATGGGGCTACGTCGTATGGCTCTGACGAATTTTTGTCATAACCGATTGACACATTCCAGTGATAGGAAAAGCTAACACTTATTGCTAACTATGCAAGTCGATGTGTGGATTTTGCTCAAAACAAGTTTGTTGATAAATAGTGGTGTTCTTTTTCTGATAGTTAGTTTGCTTTTTACTGAATATTCAGGGGCTACAATTTTCTCATTCTCTTGTGTTTTGTACGGTGATATCAGTAACTGTAATTTCTACGTAGTTGTAAACTGAGAAAAGATACAACTCTTAAAGAAACGTAAGCTAATGATCATGAAACGCCTTTCAAAAATGTGTAGTGAACAATTTGTTACTGAAGAGCCCCCAAGAGGGACGGAACAGCTGTTCAATGGTTTCAATGGTTCTCTGGGTGAAGTCGTTTCATGATTAAAATATTGTTTTAATGATCCTAAACAATTTGCATACAAACATGGTAGAAGTACCTTGGATGCTGCGGTTGTCTTGTATCACAATGTTGTCTCTTGTTTAGACAAAGGTGCTAAATATGTTCGTAGTGCTTTCTTAGACTACACATCTGCTTTTGACTCTGTACCTAGGGGCCTTTTATTAAATAAGCTATCATTGACACAAACAGGATCCTGGGCTAAGAGTTGGTTGCATTCCTATTTTTCTGATAGAATGCAGTATACTGTATATAACGGCAAATCTTCTTCTACCTCGCTTACAACATCCGGTGTTCCACAAGGTGCTGTCCTCTCTCCTTTTCTTTTTTCTTTCTTCCTACATGACCTGCCCCATTCAAACGAAACTAACTTTGTTAAATATGCAGACGATCTGACTGTATCACTGCCTATCACTTCCGAGTCTGACAGCTCCAAACTTAATAGCTTTCTGTTAGACATCAACAACTGGTCCAAGTCAAATGGTCTTATGTTAAATCCTTCCAAATGTCAGGTGCTTGACTTTACTTTCAAGCATCGACGTGACTTACTTGAACTAGTTAACTCTCATGATCCCTGTAGCATAGATGGCACGGAAATTGAAACCAAATCAAGTATTAAATACCTTGGACTAGTTTTTTCCTCTGACCTTTCATGGTCATCCCATATCTTATCTATCTCTAAGAAAATGTTTCGTCTTACCTTCTACATTAAAAAGTTAAGACAATCAGGTATCAACCAACCTTTAGTTTTGCAATTTTTAAACTCCTGTATTTTACCTATTGTACTCTACTGCTCTCCATTAATCTTTCCTGGGCTGCTCAAAAAAGATTATATCATATTACGAAGAGTATTAAATGCTGTGAGTAGAGCTTGTGGTCTGCCACTGCATGAGCTCGCTAATACTATAGTCGAGAGGCATATAAATTCCTGTACGAAATGGGCAAAAGCTATAATGTCAGACCCTCTGCACCCCCTTTATTCACACCTGTCCCCTTGTATCTCATCAGGTAGGACGAGAAGTCAATATAAAAAGATATATGCTCGTACTACTAAGTATAGAAATTCTACAATACCCTATTTAGCCCGTACTTTATGTGACGAAGACTCTGTTAGACGTGAAACTTACAAGTTACTATGTAATTAGTACAGTGAATCGACCCTTTTATCGCTCATCTTTCTGTATTTTATGGTGTTACACTTTCTATCGTTTAAATCGTTACTCTGCTATTTTATATTAGTTGGTATTACTATTATTACTACAATTTTGTACTTTATACATATTTTTCTCCGTATGACACACAGTATTTTGCTACGTAGCTGCTACAACAATCGTTTTATTACTATTATGTATTGTGTATTTTTAATTTTTTTTTGTCGTTTTTGGGTAAATTAGATGCAATATTGTACTGAATGCTGAAAATTCCTTGCTGTATCATGAGTACTGTTTTTGGAATAAAGCAATTATTATTATTATTATTATTAAGATATTTCTACCCTTTCTTCATAAGTACGACGTTGACTATTCACAAGTAGTGTTGGGTAATATTATCATGCGTAAAATATGATTGATTGGAGATTGTTTTCACTTTGGTACTTTAAAAACTGGATCTCATATGTATGTCCAAACCAATTTGGGCATTGGGTATATGATATTCATTATAATAAAGGTTTTTGTATTTCCCAATGAATGAAAAACAGAACGACATTGTTTTTACTGACGTTTCGCTATTTAATGCTAATAGCTTTATCAAGGTATTATTAAACCGAAATTTACAAAATCTCAGCATATATATAACAAAGAGTTAAGGGGTGAGAAAATAGACTTAGATCAACTTAAAAGGATATATTGAAAGTCAAATTAACAATGAAGATCATTAAACTAAATATCAAAGGTGATAGTGTATCTGTTATGATATCAAAACAAAGTTTACTAACTTGATCATCGTTCGTAAGTCTGGGGTCATTTTTCGTTGCCAAGTTGGTCAATTGGTAAAAATAACACAACCAGGTGTAGATTGTTGGATTTGATCAGTGTGTAGAATTATAAGTCGTGTGTGTTTACATAATGAAATTGCTTATCATATTCGTGTTGATTTTGTCACTTCATGGGGTAGGGAGGTGCTGTAACCAGGTCGAATTCTGTCTTAGTCCATCATTCATATTCAGACAATTTGGATTCCACTTGATATGAAGTGCTTCTGATATTAGACGTTCTTTGTGATTCCTGAAGTGCTTTTTCTGGATGACGATTTCAATATTGTCAAAATCAATTTTGTGTCCTGATTCTATAGCGTGTAGACCTATGGCTGATGATTTTTCAAGCTTTTGTAGTTCAACTGGATTTCTCGGTGGTCGCAGAGATGCTCTACAGTGTTCATTTCTTCTGATTTTGATTTCGCGAGATGTTTGTCCGATGTAGATCGCATCACATTCCAAGCATTTTATTTTACAGACACAACTAGATAGGGAATCTTTTGGGATTTGGTCTTTTATATGGACAAGGTTGCTTTGCAGTGTGTCTGATGTTTTGAAGAAAACTCTAATGTCAAGCTGATTGAGTACTCTTCTGATTTCGTCTGACGTCTCTGCTCTATATGGAATAACGACTGTTGATGTCCATGTTTTCGGAATGCGTTTTCGGCCATACTTAATGTTTGTGTTGATTTTGCTGACGAAGTTTTTGGGTAATTGTTTTGCTTTAGAGTTTCAGTAATGTTTAATATTTCTTCCTCTTTTTCTTCCTCATCTGTTATCAGAGAGTGTGCTCGTCTAAGAAAACTTGAAACAACCGAAATCTTTGCGCTAATGGGGTGTGATGATTTGAAGTCTAAATATTTATTAGAGTGGGTTTTCTTCCTGAATATGGATATACTAAAATTTCCGTTTTCCTTTCTCTTAACTAGGCAGTCTAGAAATGTTAGTTCACCGACGTCTGATTCTGCTTCCGAAGTGAACTGGATTTTGGGAGATACACGGTTTATTTTCTCCAGGAATGAATTGTGTAGGTCTCGTTTTAGTATCATCCACATATCTTGACCATATTTTAGGAGTCAGTATGCTTGAAAAGATGTTATTTTCGAATTTATTCATGAAAAGGTCGGCGACTATTGACCTAAGTCTATTTTCTGATTTCTTAACTCCTTGTTATTTACACGCTGAGATTTTGTAAATTTCGGTTTAATAATACCTTGATAAAGCTATTAGCATTAAATAGCGAAACGTCAGTAAAAACAATGTCGTTCTGTTTTTCATTCATTGGGAAATGCAAAAACCTTTATTATAATGGATCTCATATGATCGTTGATGAATGGTACCAGTGAATTAAGAGGCGTTTGATACACAGTGACTTCCAGGAATTACATTTATAGCATGGTATGTCCTACCACCATGTATGCATATCAGCAGTGGTATTTACTATGAACTGACGGTGGCAGCCAACAACCGGTGAATGTTTAATTGATTAGTTAATAATTTTTTCCTCATAATATCACTAGACTGCCTAAATATTTTTGCGAATATTCGTACTATTTGAAGACTCAAGAAAGCATTACTTTTCATTTTGTGTTTTGTGACTCAAGTGGGTTTAAGTTTTGCTAAATTTGCATAATAGAGAAACAGGATTAATAGTATAAAAT